AAAAAAAAAAAAAAAAAAAAAGAATTTCATTTTCCACCCCTGACATTATACTATAGTATTATAATTCGTAATCAAAACATCTGACATGTTGTTATTTGCAAAGTTCTGCTTACCTTACTCATGTTCTAACACAAAACAGAGTTAGAACCATAGCAATTTACCACACAGTGAAGATACCTGGAAAATGCTTTGGCTTTGTAATTTACTTCTGAAAATTGCTCAAATGAAACCTGCTCAAATACTTTTTTTTTTTTTCTTGAGACGGTCTTAGTCTGACACCCAGGCTGGAATGTAGTGGCATGGTCAAGGCTCACTGTAGCCTTGACCTCCTAGGGCTCAAGTGATCCTCTTGCCTCATCTTCTCAAGTAGCTGAAAGTACAGGCACAAGCCATCACACCCAACTAATTATTATAATATATACATTTTTTATTTTGTAGAGACAGGGTTTTCACTACATTACCAAGGCTGGTCTTAAACTCCTGGGCTGAAGTGATCCTTCTACCTTGGCCTCCAAAAGTTCTGGTATTACAGGTGGCAGCCACCGTGCCTGGCCCAAATTACTTTTTCTATCAGTATGTTACGATAATAGGAAACTACAAAATGCTCCACACCTTTTGAATTGTATCCCAATTATTCACCACTAGTGTAGTACAGAAAATCTGACTACCGTTTTTAAAATATTTCAAATTTTGCATGATCACAAGCTGGAGTATGTGAAATTATCTAAAATTTAGAGATGTCTAAAAGATTAACAGAAAATGAAAGGAACTCCATATGTTTAATATCTCTACATCTTCTTACTTACTACACAAAATTGGAGAAGAGGGTGTTTGCAGTGTCAAAGTGGAGCCGTCTTTCCTCGTGATATTAACTCGAAAAACCAATCTGGCACGAGTGCTTTTCTTCTTGGAACCAGCAATTCCTATTCTGGCTTCAACATCAGCATTCCTCAATTTCAATATCCCTACACAGTCCACCCTAATACAAAAAATATATATATAAAGGGACATTTTGTTATACAAATAGTATAATGTTCTTAAACAACAAGTGTGTTTTTAAAAATTTTGCTTATCTATTAATTCTGTGAATATGTAATAAAGTCACAAAGTTCCAAGTTCAAAAAGTACCAAGGGTAAATTCTAAACATTCATTGTTCCTAATACTGTCAATCTTTTGTTTATAATAATAAAGATGAAGAAAAAAAATTAAAATCAGCATTTTAAAATCTGAACATAAATAATGGCTTATAAGACATCTTTTTTTTTTTTTTTTTGAGATGGAGTCTCACCCAGGCTAGAGTGTAATGGCATGATCTCGGCTCACTGCAACCTCTGTCTCCTGGGTTCAAGGGATTCTCCTGCCTCAGCCTCCCAAATAGCTGGGATTATAGGCGCCCGCCACCATGCTCAGCTAATTTTTTGTATTTTTAGTACAGATGGGCTTATACCATGTTGGCCAGGATGGTCTTGAACTCCTGTCCTCAAGTGATCTGCCTGCCTTAAACTCCCAAAGTGTTGGGATTATAGGCATGAGTCCCCACCACACCTAGCCAGGGACCT